CAGCAGACTTCATATACCAGCAGTTACCAGTTATCACATGTGTGTATTGTTTGGGGAAAACCTGGTCTGATGCGAAGAAACGGCATCCATCCTTCTGTGGATGGAACAGCTCTTCTTTCTAGGAACATGGCCAATTTTATTAGTCCTCCATGACAACCCAGGGCCCAGACCAGGAAGCAGAGTCGTAGTTTAACACACCCCTCTGTAGCTTCTGTACTGTTACCCACCCACTACCCCAGGTGCATTTATAAGACACACCATGCCGGTGTCGGTACAGGATCCGCTCGAGTGCAAGATCGGCTCGGGGTACTTTGACTGCTGATGATGTCAAAGTAGTTGATTGGCTGAACATGAACCTTACGGAAGTTACGTAATCACGTTACGTTGTTATCACGCTACGTTGGTCCAGGCAAATTTTTCTGTTGGAAACCTGGACAACTTTTACAAAGAAATCCATCATTACCTCTTTGAAAATACACTTTTAGCATAGAGCTGCATGTATATTAGGGCTGGACGATTAACTGCATGTGCAATTAAATTGCCATGTGACAAAATGAGATTTTCTAATCGCCAAGGCTGCAATTTGGCAGCGAGTGGTTAGCGCAATGCTAATATACGTGGAAAAACCCATAGGAATGCTAATGCTAATATCACCGATTACATTCTTACAAATTATGAATTAGAAACATGCCAAATGATTACATTTGGAGTCTAATAGAAAGTAAAACTACCATCAATCAAGCACAGACAGGTATTTTAGTAAAGCCAGAAAACCTTTTACTCCAGAGTTTTGGCTAGCAGCTATGAGCGTAACTGAACTACGCATGGACAAGATGTCAAAAACTCTAAACACAAAATACTTCAAGAAATGGGACACACTTCTTTCCTGCCAATACAATTTCACAGGTGTTGCTAATACCTATGATGTGGTCAAAGAGGAGTTCAACATTATGAATACAATATAGTGTTTTATTTTACAAATACCATTATAAACACAAACTTACGTCGTAAGAAACTTTATTTTAATAACGAAACTGCTAAATGCTTTCCAACAGTATAAAGATGTGTAGTGTATTTTGTCCGAGTGGGTTTGACGTACTTTGACGTCATCGGCAGTCGAAGGACCCCGAGCCGATCTTGCACCCGAGCGGATCCTGTACCGACACCGGCAAATCGGCGTAATATTACCGCAATGGTATGTCTATAAACGCGCGTCATGCCGGCATGGCGTTGCGCAAATTTTGCGGCATTCGTTCTGCCTCACTTGGTAGTAATATGGCCGCATCAGCCCCTCGCCTCTGACGGCTAAACTCGTGTCAGCCCTTCTAATCCCTTTGGAGCGACTGTGGGAGCCCCCCCCACCCCCCCACCCCCACCCCCGACAGACCGCAAGCCTAAAAGAAACAAATAAGTACAAACCTACAGAATAACCTTCCAAGCAAGGACACAACCAGGAGAATCAGGGTTAAACAAAAAAGCTGCTCTCCCTACTAGGGTGGTCTGACCAGATGTTTGCATGTCTTTAAAAGGCACATTACGGTGTTTGGTGGTCAGATGGCTCACAGGACCAGAGGATCAGCATCACAGGGATTACATTGGTTAATGCTTACTGACTCAGGAAGCAGCACTCATTAAAGGAGGCAGAGCCTTGGACGAAACAAGCATGCATGTAACACCTGATGTGGTTCATAGACACTAAGATGTGAACCTCTCTAGAAGAGTGATGGAGGTCCAGGCTGAGGTTGAAAGTGAAGTCCAACAAGACCAACACAGAGGTACACTCAGAAAAGTCAGATATTATGCAATCACTGATTTTCATTTTTACCCTGGAAATTCCATCTTTCATTGTGTTTTAGTGGGTCTGCAACTGGTGTCGTATACATAAAGCATTTAAAGCCAATCTCTTCCTCAGAGCGATGGCTGCAGATGTGAGGAAGAGCCTGGGCTCTGAGCTGTAGCTGTAGCTCTGCCTCTTCCTGCACATCTGCGTGAGAACACAGATCTCTGCTCAGGATCTAGTGGAACTAAATGTTTTCAAATCAAGATAGTATTCCCTTATGCATTGCTGGCATGTTTATACTACTCTGGATCTGGCATAGGCCCAGCCTGTGACACAACTTCCTGTTTCCATGCTCCTTTCTAGTGCCTCGCACCTCTACTGCTTCCTAAAACTTTAAAGTAGACATTGTTGGAAACTGTTTGCTTCAAGTGTTTCTGGCTCACTTTCAGTTTCATTTTCCATTGTTCTGTATCTTTATTCAACATGTAATTACAGTCCAGAACCCAGCCCGTTTGTCTGAGGTTTGGAGTCAGCCGATTGTTTCACAGTCTCTAATCTGACTGGACTCCCTGTAGGGAGACTCTCTGAAGCCTTCAAAGGCATTGGAGATGTTAGTCTGCATCAGAAGTCTACCCTGCTCTTTCACCTATGAGCCGTTTTCTGAAACAGGAAGCACTGTTTTGATGCTGAACCGGGGCCTCATGGTGTCATGTTACATCA